AAAAAAAAAATTTAGAATTATTTTTCAAAAAAAATGGTCAAAATATATCAAAGTATCTTGAAATATTCCAAACAATTGTGCAAAATATATTAAAATGCTATAAAACATCTCGAAACATTATGGAACACCTCAAAATATTAGAATTTTGATTCCATCAGTGATTGTTTTGATCTCCTTAGAAATGAAAACATTTCGGACGTTTTGACCGTTTCGAAACGAAATTTTGATCCTTGGTTTCATCATAAGTTAAGTATAGACATCACACTTGGCATTTTTTTTTTTATCATTTACAATAATATAATTTTCAATGATAACAAGCCCAAGTAAGGATCCTATTCAAATTTTCACCAATTATCAATAATATAAAAAGAAGCCCAATTAATGATCCTTGTCTTTCTTCTTATGTTCAGGGAACGAATCAGGATCATTGAATTTAAACCAATGTGTGCACAATGAAACTCGGTTCCAGCTAAAGTAGTGCTTCTGCTACAACGGAACCTGTCCCTGAATCACATCAAATGACGAATAGAACTTCTATGAAGTGCTATTCTCCAACATCCAAAAATTTCTATACCTATGATGAAAAACTACACCTAATAGTGTATCAAGCTCTTCATTCATCATTTAAATATCCTATTTCATTTTTTGTGCGTCGTTCGACATTTTATGAATTTCAGCATTTTCATAAACTTCCAACACACAGCGCAGGAATGCTGACTTTAGGAAACATGAATAGACACACTTAGACATTGATACAAAAATTACACGAATATGGAATGAAAATTTTCAACTAGGAAGCGTCATTATGCATATCTAATCAACAATGCTAGCACAAAACCGAGTATAGCCTATCAAAGAACTATATCAAGAGGATGAGACTTCGCATANAGGAATGAAAATTTTCAACTAGGAAGCGTCATTATGCATATCTAATCAACAATGCTACCACAAAACCGAGTATAGCCTATCAAAGAACTATATCAAGAGGATGAGACTTCGCATAATCCTGTATGATAGCTGAGAAGTGAGAACTCACCATTGTCGAGCCTGGGAATGATTTTCCAAAGCTTCATATGCCTTGCCTCTTAGAAAGCATATTGCTGACAATATCTGTCATTAAATAGAAGAGTTATACTTACTTGCTCGAAACTCAATAGTATAGCAAATTCCTACACTGAATATGCTACATCTATACTAAGATTGTGCAATATCGTTGCAAAAAATGGATTGTCGCAAAGTCTCAGAGATGATAGCGAACAAGATATGTAGGGGATTAGTTTCATGATTATGTAAATTGACAAACTGAGAGAATGCTATGACATCAAAACTTTACATGTCATGCTTATTGTCAGGTATATCAACTTCTTAATCATGGGTTTAAAGACTCTTTTATCCCTCTGCCAAAAAACCATATGCAAACAAAGTGGCAAGGTCAACAAATAGCTCTGCTTATAACTCCCATAGTGACCCAAATAGCTCTAGTTATAAAGAATGGCAATTATCAAAATGGAAGAGATGTTTTCTCCACTGGAGAGGATATGTAAGATATCGGTTTCATTTGAAACATAAGCATACAAATGATGTATATTAGCGAGACAATTAAAGAATGTGCATAAGCCTGAGTGATTCTTATTCCAGAATCTCATATTACATGGCAAGTTATAATTTGGTTTTGTGAAATTCCATAAAATCATTTATAAACATGTAGCCGCTAGCAAATAATCAATGTTGAAGATTTGCATCAGAGGCCACATTATATCTTCCATCAGCAAACAACCAATTGCTGCGATGAATTCTCCATGCTTCACAATCTTCACTTGAGCATTTTGATCTCAAATGACTAACAGCAACTTCTAGAGCATATCTAAGCTAGCAGAGCTACTTTTTCCACCAACACAGTGAAAGTCCAATTATTAACTCATTTTTCTAGACTTTGCTCTCGTACACTAATCTCTAGCGCCGTGTTCCTTCTTCGAAAAAGTAGAATTTGGTGCTATTTTATTTTCATTGCTCAAAAGGGACACACAATTGTTGAGAAAAAGTTGGGAACGCAATGAATGTGAATGAAAACCTGCCCATAACCAAGGATATCAAAGAAAGAAACTTACATTGATCTCGCGATCTTCCGCATCTTTATCCAAGTATATGACGTTACAATCCTTTGTGTCACTAACATATCCATGTTCATCCACTTTGGCATCACCAAGCATTAATAGACATTGATCCCACTCCTTCAGTTCCTCCTAATCATATATGTATTTAATTAAAAAAAAATGTAAGAACAAAACATTTTGACACGAGAAGAATCAACATAACAAAAAAAAATAACATATGCAATCAAACTTGCATGAAAGTTAAGAAAAAAAGGAGCTCACATGCACATGTAAGATGATTACAACATCCCCATTAGANTCACAAGAAGAATCAACATAACAAAAAAAATAACATATGCAATCAAACTTGCATGAAATTTAAGAAAAAAAGGAGCTCACATGCACATGTAAGATGATTACAACATCCCCATTAGATACATTCCAAGTAATAAATTAACATTATGAAGCCATAACAAAACTGCCTTGTCCACAGACCATGTGCCTTCCATGCAGCCCTCTGAATATTTGAGTAATTACAATTTCCAAGAAGCTGGCTATACAATTCCAGCTCCTAGCTCTTAAATTGGAAACCAAAGATTAAATATTTTCCATCCTTAGCTTCAAAACTTTGCAAAACTATTTATTTAAACCTGAAAAAAGCACTTCCGTGCTTTATGCAACCAATTCTTTATCTGACTAACAAAGAACTTCAGGAGGAAATAGCTGGTTGGGTTGGTCCAACCAAGAAAGACATGGGAGAGATAGGCTAAGTGAAATAATATACTGGTGCTATTATCGAATCTTATGAATCATGCATGGCACACTTTCTATATATCTGCTTGTCCAAGGAGGGAGTTTGCTTTACCCAACTCCCTTTTTGATAACAAGGCAGAAACCCCGACTCGCCATTCATTAGTTTAGTTTGGAATGAAGAATGAAGAGTGCCCTACTAGCAAGCACCTACTAGCAAGCACCTACTGCTATCAAAAAGCGAGACTTTACTACTATAATAATACAAAACCTCGGAAAATTCATATATGGATGCATATAAATAGCCCAAAATTTGACATTTTAATCCAAGAGCCATCCAAACCTGGTGAGACCTACGATGACATCATTCAGCACAAAAGTCAAATGAAACCAAGCAATTGCATTTTAATTTACAAGAAAGAATAAACTTTATCACCAGGACTAACATCAAAGCAACCCCGAAACCCACCTAAAAACCAGAAACCCCTCATTCACAAACCAAGATAAGAAAAATAAAGCCCGAACAGACAAAATCTGAACAATATATACATATGTATAATGTATGTAACTCGAAAGGTGTATTTGGGAAGAAATTCACCAGGCATTTAGCAGCGAGGTAGCGGAAGCGGAGGTCGCGGAGGACGACCTGGGAGGCGTTGAGGAGGTGGAAGGCGCGGCGGAAGTGACCGCCGAGGAACAAAGCTTGCGCTTGCATGTATATGTCGGCGGGGTCCGATGTGAATGCGGCAACCTTATCGGCGAAAAAGATCGCCGATGAGTACAAGTGCTTGCTCACGCAGTCCCTCACCACTCCTCTCAGCTTCTCTATCTCTTCTTCCCTCATATTCTGACTATCTTTGAAAATCTGAGATCAGATGTGTATTTCAGACACACAGAGAGAGAGAGAGAGAGAGAGAGAGAGAGAGAGAGAGAGATGAGGTTTTGATGTGGCGTAGAGAGAGGGGATGAGTTGGGGTAGTACCTTAGCGGGAGAGCGAGACGGAGTGGAAAGAGCGGGAGGTTCCTCTGTTTGTGAAGGACTGGTTTTGGGCCTACATTTTAGGAATGAGACTTCAATGGGGCTCAAGGCCCATTTTGGATGGACCCAAGTCTACCGATTGATTGTGGACATACCTTTTGGACAGAATTTGATGTAGTGTTTTTTTGGAGCCGGCCCTAGGCCCAATATGATTCCAAAAAATATCTACTCGGCAATTTCTTGCGGAATAATGTCATCGTTAAAAAATCAAAACAATAGACATAACTAACACTCTTTAAAAATTACAAAAATAATGATAATATCATCACTTAATTAAAACACATTTTAAAAAATTACATCATCATAATATACCTTCTTTTCCATAAACACAGATTGTCAAACAGATACACTATAATACAAATTGTTAGACAAATATATTAAAATACAGATCATCAGTGAAGTAATTTACTCCACTAAAATACCTCTGTTGGTATAGGATCTAATGGTGGATTGATTCAAAAATTGAGGAAACTACATTCCTGTAATAGTAGTATTGCTCTTGGTATCTCATAATACTATATTCAAAATGTCTTTTATTATAAGGTGTGGCTCAAAAAAGGGGAGTTTTTANTTTGCTCTTGGTATCTCAGAATACTATATTCAAAATGTCTTTTATTATAAGGTGTGGCTCAAAAAAGGGGAGTTTTTATGTCTTAGATCAAAACACAAATGCTTCTAAGTGGTGTTGGGTGAGAATCAACGAGGTTTGATGGCGAAAGGTTAAAGTTGGTGTAAAGGGATAAATATTTGACAAAAATCCGAACTAATCAAACACCACCTAGGTCTTAATTGAATCTGTGGCCACCGCTGCAACGAGCAAGAGATAACAGTAGAAGAACGTCGCAGGAACAAGGAAGAGAAGATGAATGGGGCGTTTGAAAGAATAAAGGAAGATTGATTTTGCCTCGATTTAGAGTTTAAATATAGTGGAGTAATTTTTAAGGATTTTTTACCGATTGTTATAGATTTTTGAACCCTTGATTTTGAAAGTTTGATGATAGGTGATTAGCTTTTAAGATTAATTTTTTTTTTAATTTTTTTTTGTCATATCAAAACTAAGTCATGTTAAGGTGGATTTGACGATTTGTATTTTAATGTATATATTTGATGATTAGTGTTTTAATGTACTTGTCTGATGATTTATGTTTATGAAAAATAAAATATATTATATTTTTACATTGTTAAATTGAAAATAATGTAATGAAAGCAAAATGGATAATGAAAACACAGTAATTGTCCCACTTTTTATTATTCGCACCAAAATAAGGATCCTAACCTAATTAACTATTTTTTTTTGGCTGGGAGTAAAGGTGGTCACTAGTGAGACGTTATCTTGAGATTCCTACCAGTTGTATAATGTTCGGTTAGAACTTTGAACTATAACTACTAATTTGGCATGGTTGAGTAAATTTGACGTAGCTTAAGGCCCAAGTTGCCCGATCAAAATTTTGATAGATCCATTTTAGAGATTAATTTTCTAGAATTCTTATAAGTTTTCTTTGGGATTTTCTTTGTTTTATTGTTTTTCCAAAGAAATGTTCGGATTTATTGATATAATTGTATTCTTCCTAATTCATTCATCTCGTCCCTATTTTTCACAGTGTTCTCTTTTAAAGAAAACATTCTTAAAGCATCTCTAACTATGATTTAAAGTTTTAATTAAATTTAAGTAAAAAATTTGATTTGATACAAATGGGTTAAATAGATAAACTCAAATTTAAAGAAATTTTTTTTAATTTAAATTAGAATAAAAATAACAATTAAATTTTTACTTAAATAGTGAAAAGATGACTCAATAACAGTAATCGCATCGTATCATATTCGAGTCTTGTCCCAATTAATTCTCATGCTTACTAGAGTTAAAAAACAAGTACATTTTTAGCCGTGTAGAGTTTTTCGGCCTTAGCTGGGCCAACACCCACTTGATTGGGGCAAGTTTGATTTGAAGAATAGCGTAATTAGGGGTATGGAATTATTTGAAGAGAATAGCTTAATCGAAGATATAAGAATACAAATTAAATTTCCTCAGGGAAAGTATGTCTAGGAGCATCAAAGACAAGTAAAGGAGTCCAGCTCCAAAAAATAATAATAATAATAATGTTACATAAATTTAAAAATTAGACTTAAAAAATAGATTTGATAAAAAAAATAAAAATAAAAGGGCAACGCAAGTGATAACAAATATAAGATGTAAGCTCAGACGTTTTGAATTGAATATTTGCCAAAAGTAATGAGTTATTTATCTCTCATGAATATTCTAACCTCAGCATGGATGACTTATCTTTTACGTAATCGGAGAGAGAAATTAGTCAAGGTGTGAATAAACTAACCTAGACACCCCTGATCATTGAATAAATAAATAAATAAAAAAAGACAAATAGAATATTATTATTTTTTTTATCTAAATATATTTCAATACATTTTTAAAAAAAAAAAAATTCTCAATGGCAAATTGCTTGTGCGTATTAATATAGGATCCACTTATATAAAATGATCTTGATTTCCCACCAAAAATTGTAATTTGCTTATTTTTGAATTAACCCTTTTTTCCTCAAATAGATTAGCATGACATATTTCTATTAACAAAGAAAATACTCTTAAAAGAGTAATGATATTCGAACTTAATGAAGTAACCAATATCTTGACCAAACGGCGAGTTGATATATGATAATGAAACTGCTAAAAATTCTTATTGAATTTATGGATAAGACCACGTTATCTCCAAAGAAATATTATACTGTGTTGAAATTGATTAAGAGTCTTTAGAACTTGGTTCGATTTATTTAGAGTCATTGATCATAAATATAATAAAATAAACACGAGTTAAATTTTTATTGCACAAAATATGAAAAATATAATAATATACTTTTTTTATTACTATAGTTGGACCCTTAGTCATGTCACCTCCTATATTAGTACATAACAAAATGATAACCGTGTTACATCACTTTGTATCCTTCCCTAAGGAGATGAAAAATGATCAAAAGCCCCCTCTCTCCCTCTCTGGTCCGTCGTGCATTTTTCCTTCACCGATCATAGCAATGATCTTCAAACACAATTATAGCCATTCATTAAAGATTTATGAAGGAGGGGCCTGGGAAAAATGATAGCTCAAACCCACCTTAAGATGAAATACATATTCCTCCCAACCCAAAATAGAGAAAGAAATGACGAAGAGTAACATTTTTCACCCGAGCCGACAGCTAGAAAGGGTAATGATTAATATGTTCTTGAATAATCTAAAACACCATAAATAAAATACAATCACAAGTCATATGTTTCCTAAACAACGTTGTTTTATGATAAACTAAACGACATTATTTTATAACACACATATTATTTTTTAAAAAAAAAATTAAATATACACACGAATTGGATAAAAATGTAAAAATTTTATGGATATTTTTCATTTATACTCGATATTTATGGAATACAAAAAAAAAAAATCTTTCATTAGTTAATAAAAAAATATAAAAGCCGAATTATCGGATAGAGTAAAATCGAAATTTTATAGAACGGGTCGGATAGGCGGAATTTTGAACACCCCACACGAAAAGAAAGAAAGGTGTGTAAATGTAATTATGTATGATAACTTTTTGTACGAGTTAAACACGTCATCTAACACTTGGCGTTCGGACCTAACGAAAAATTGTCATGTCAAGCATATTAGTTGATTTTTTTTCCAGGAAGAGTTCCTAAAAAAATGATAAGTGACAATAATTCTTAGAAATGTGTATCTTTTAATTGGTTATGTACACTGCTTAACGATCACAAATAATGTGTAAGACTCTCCGAAAATTTTCTCTTATATATCTAGATATTGCAATATTATTTGTATTTAATTTATTAACATAATTTGTTTAAATTTTGTATCTTTAAGGGTGTAAATTAAAATTTTAGAAATCTTTTAGGATATAATTTGTGATTAACTTTAAAAAAAAGATTAATTATAAAATATCTCCTTCAATTTTGGATAATTTATCATTCACTTTTTCAAGTTTTAATTTCAACAAATAGACCCTTTAAATTTAAATATTTTACATTTAACTCTAATAATTACTTTTAGATCATAAAAAATGACAGAAGTTAAATATGAGAAATTCACATAATCTTTATTTTGTTGAAAAGACATAATTATCCATAGCAAAGTGTGTGTCTTTATGCGAACGTCATGTGCGTGTAGGTGTTGGGTAGAGGTGGAGCCGAAAAAGAAGATGAACATGTGGTATAGTGCATTGATGTTGGATTGAATGGATATATTTTTGTCTTAACTTTTCCATTTTCTTATTTTTAATGGACAGAATTGGTATCACAAGAAAAAAAAATATAAAACATAATGTACAATATGACATAATGATACTTCCATGTTTCGGTCAATTAATTTAGTCCATTTAAAACTCGAGGGGGGCATATTGCAGCATTTGAAAAGGTGAATGGGGTAATTTGTAATTAACCGCCCCCCCCCCCCNTCCGATGGGTCGTTTGTTGCAGGCCTTTTGGCGTTCTTAAGGCAATGCTGGTGGATGATTCATTGCTTTAAAATTCTGATCTCCATGGCACAGTCCGAGTACAATCTCCATGTTAGATTGTGTGGAAATGGCAGTCCGGGTAGTCAAAAAGGTGAAGTCAAAAGGGACTCCGGGACATGTAGTTTAGTTTTGTAAAATTTTACGTGCATGTATGTATTGTTTGGATAATATATGTGATTTCTCATTCGTTATGTTTTTCATAAAAATAATAAATTATTTTTTTTTGGTATTGTGGTTTAAGGGTATTCGAGCTAATTTAAATGCACTTTAACTAATTCCTTGTTCGATCCGGTTAAAGACATATCATCCATGTCATGACTAAAAAATTCATGAGAGATAAATTTTTCATGACGTGAGTCTAAGTGAGTCATTAAATTTCAAAATCATGATGTTTGAATTTGCAACTCGTCCATATCTCTATAGCCACCCTTGGGGTTAAATATCTTAATTATTACTAATGATGGTTTCATATATTAAGGGTGGGGTTGAATGAATTTAATTTACGTGCTGTTTAGGAAATTTTATTTTACTTTTTGGGTTAAAAATGCAAGACCCTAGTGAGACTATGGTGCAAATTGGTTGAAAAATGACCACAAACACCATTCTAATTTGCATCTTTGAAATGATAAAACACATAGGGAGGGAGGGTATACTGAACTGTGCGTCATCCCAAGTGAATAAAATGATACACCATTGGTACCTAAGTTTACCAGTTTCCCCATCAGTGATGAATTTGGAAGTCCTCTACACGTACTTTGAGATGGTAACGAAGTTTTCCAGTAATTTGAATAGTACAGCGACCCTTCAGCAAACATCATCAGTAATATCTAGTAAAAAGAATTACAGTCTGAAATTTCTGCTAAAGCCAACAGATCTGCTTTTAAAAGCCTAAAACCATACTGCCCAACTGTGTTTTTTCAAACTGAAACCTGCTGCTAATGAACTTTTCTTTTTTCTGTTATAGCTTGAATTATATTCCCCGCCCCTCTCTCTCTCTCTCTCTCTCTCTCTCTCTGTCTCTCTCATAGCAAAGCTTTGGACAGAAAGCAAACGACATAAGAATATCGTACATGTAAATCAGACAAGGTGGTTGTTTAAAAAACATATCTGCTCCAATGGAAAGTAAGCGAATCAGGAAACTGATAACTTTTCAATGGATATGTATAACTTACAAGAGTAAGTGGGTACTTACTTATTCACAAACTATTAATGGATCGATGGCTCTATCAAGAGCATTAAGGGCTAAGCACAACATAATTTTGGAGTCGCTAAACCCAATCCAATTCATATGTTCAACACTGAATGTTTCACCGTGACGCATTTGAGTCTCGAAACTATAACCATTCAATAGAATTCGACTAAGCCTCAAAAGACATATATATGGGACATGGAACAATATTTTAACGCGACTATTCGTGCCCCTGGTGGTGACGACCATGTCACAATGGCAACAATTTATTTGTCTGAGTTGCAAAGAATATTTGAAACCATCACACGAATAATTATTAATAAATGATTCGGTATTATAATTCATGAAATCAGTGCAATAAGCTATGAAAAGAGATGAGATGAGGAGAGGGGAGGTAATGGTGCCAAATAATTTTTTTTTTAATTTAGATAATTTATTGATCTAATCACTCATAGTTATTAGATTGATAATGAGTCCTAATATTTTTTAAAGAGATGAGACGATGAATTAAGTCAATAAATTATGTGAACAAATTAGATCCAAATAATATTAGTGCACTAAATTTAAACTAAAAACATGGGCCAGAAGTACCTTACCTCAAGCCCAATACAAAGTTGGGCTTTTGAAACCAAGCCATATCTCCATCCAGCCCAACTAAGTTGTAGGCTTCTAGCCTTTGGAAATGTAGAATGGACCCTAGTCCAGAAAACATCAGTTCCCTAGCCGTTGCCAGCATCCGGCGGGAATCCACTGCACGTCAGCCTCTCTCCACATTAATTGACCGTTGGAAGAAAATGGAGAAATTAAAGGTGGTCTCACATTTGGAGTAACAATTGTGTACTATCTTTATTATACCACTTGATCTTAGATGTGATATGATTTTAATTTTTAAATATTTAATAAATTTAATAANAAAATAAACACGAGTTAAATTTTTATTGCACAAAATATGAAAAATATAATAATATTTTTTTTTGTTATTACTATAGTTGGACCCTTAGTCATGTCACCTCCTATATTAGTACATAACAAAATGATAACCGTGTTACATCACTTTGTATCCTTCCCTAAGGAGATGAAAAATGATCAAAAGCCCCCTCTCTCCCTCTCTGGTCCGTCGTGCATTTTTCCTTCACCGATCATAGCAATGATCTTCAAACACAATTATAGCCATTCATTAAAGATTTATGAAGGAGGGGCCTGGGAAAAATGATAGCTCAAACCCACCTTAAGATGAAATACATATTCCTCCCAACCCAAAATAGAGAAAGAAATGATGAAGAGTAACATTTNAGCTCAAACCCACCTTAAGATGAAATACATATTCCTCCCAACCCAAAATAGAGAAAGAAATGATGAAGAGTAAGATTGTTCACCCGAGCCGACAGCTAGAAAGGGTAATGTTTCGAATCAAATTCTGTTCAAAAAATTGGCTCAGAAGGTAGGGTAAAAATACATAATGCCTCAAAAAATTTCAAACTTTTAATTTATTAATTTTTGGGTCAGTTTAACAATTCAATTATCAAAATTTTGGACTACTTTTACAACTAAACTATTAAAATATAATATAAAAATATGTAAATCAGCACAATAAATAGAAATCTTTTAGGATACAATTTGTGATTAACTTAAAAAAAAAGATTAATTATAAAATATCCCCTTCAATTTTGAATAATTTGTCATTCACTTTTTCAAGTTTTAATTTCAACAAATAGACCCTTTAAATTTAAATATTTTACATTTAACTCTAATAATTACTTTTAGATCATAAAGAATGACAGAAGTTAAATATGAGAAATTCACATAAATTTTATTTTGTTGAAAAGACATAATTATCCATAGCAAAGTGTGTGTCTTTATGCGAACGTCACGTCATGTGCGTGTAGGTGTTGGGTAGAGGTGGAGCCGAAAAAGAAGATGAACATGTTGTATAGTGCATTGATGTTGGATTGAATGGATATATTTTTGTCTTAACTTTTCCATTTTCTTATTTTTAATGGACAGAATTGGTATCACAAGAAAAAAAAATATAAAACATAATGTACAATATGACATAATGATACTTCCATGTTTCGGTCAATTAATTTAGTCCATTTAAAACTCGAGGGGGGCATATTGCAGCATTTGAAAAGGTGAATGGGATAATTTGTAATTAACCGCCCCCACCCCCCGGCCGAAACACAGTCACAGAATAAAAAAAGCAAAGCTTGGCAAACGGGTAACTTTAGCTGTAAGTTGCCAACCTCCCTTCCTCTAAAGTATCTGATGATAACCTATGCCCAAAGAAAACTCGAAATCATGGTACTCAATTCCACACCATGATTCATCCATGTTCTCACCGCCTATATTTTCTTCAGAAATCTCTGAAACTTGCCCAGATCTCTCTCATCTCCCTCTCTCTCTCTCTCTCTCTCTCTGAGTGTATATACCTACATAATGGCGACATCCGGAGATTCATCTCCGGCATCGTTGCCAGAAATTTCCAGCCCAGGTAGTNCTCTCTGAGAGTGTATATACCTACATAATGGCGACATCCGGAGATTCATCTTCGGCATCGTTGCCAGAAATTTCCAGCCCAGGTAGTCCATTTATTCAAATGGTAGAAANAGATTCATCTCCGGCATCGTTGCCAGAAATTTCCAGCCCAGGTAGTCCATTTATTCAAATGGTAGAAAAATCGTTATCCGACAGACTCCTTGGCAAATACTTTGACGCATCAGAGTTCGACTTTGATTACGAGCAGAGCGGTTTGTGGTCTCCTCTGATTCCCCGGAAGGTGTTCTTGAGCTCGCCTGGAAATATATGCTCCGTCGATGAAATGCTTGGAAAACTAAAGAGTGTGAAGAAGACCCATTGGTTCAGACACTTAATCCTTTGCTTCAGTGTAATGGACTCGCACATACCTATACTATTTCGTTCACCACCCTTATTTTACGATCTCAAAAAATAATTCCTCGGTATTCTAATCTTATTTTGTGTTCCGATGGGTCGTTTGTTGCAGGCCTTTTGGCGTTCTTAAGGCAATGCTGGTGGATGATTCATTGCTTTAAAATTCTGATCTCCATGGCACAGTCCGAGTACAATCTCCATGTTAGATTGTGTGGAAATGGCAGTCCGGGTAGTCAAAAAGGTGAAGTCAAAAGGGACTCCGGGACATGTAGTTTAGTTTTGTAAAATTTTACGTGCATGTATGTATTGTTTGGATAATATATGTGATTTCTCATTCGTTATGTTTTTCATAAAAATAATAAATTATTTTTTTTTGGTAGTGTGGTTTAAGGGTATTCGAGCTAATTTAAATGCACTTTAACTAATTCCTTGTTCGATCCGGTTAAAGACATATCATTCATGTCATGACTAAAAAATTAATGAGAAATAAATCTTTCATGACGTGAGTCCAAGTAAGTCGTTANCCATGTCATGACTAAAAAATTCATGAGAGATAAATTTTTCATGACGTGAGTCTAAGTGAGTCATTAAATTTCAAAATCATGATGTTTGAATTTGCAACTCGTCCATATCTCTATAGCCACCCTCGGGGTTAAATATCTTAATTATTACTAATGATGGTTTCATATATTAAGGGTGGGGTTGAATGAATTTAATTTACGTGCTGTTTAGGAAATTTTATTTTACTTTTTGGGTTAAAAATGCAAGACCCTAGTGAGACTATGGTGCAAATTGGTTGAAAAATGACCACAAACACCATTCTAATTTGCATCTTTGAAATGATAAAACACATAGGGAGGGAGGGTATACTGAACTGTGCGTCATCCCAAGTGAATAAAATGATACACCATTGGTACCTAAGTTTACCAGTTTCCCCATCAGTGATGAATTTGGAAGTCCTCTACACGTACTTTGAGATGGTAACGAAGTTTTCCAGTAATTTGAATAGTACAGCGACCCTTCAGCAAACATCATCAGTAATATCTAGTAAAAAGAATTACAGTCTGAAATTTCTGCTAAAGCCAACAGATCTGCTTTTAAAAGCCTAAAACCATACTGCCCAACTGTGTTTTTTCAAACTGAAACCTGCTGCTAATGAACTTTTCTTTTTTCTGTTATAGCTTGAATTATATTCCCCGCCCCTCTCTCTCTCTCTCTCTCTCTCTCTCTCTGTCTCTCTCATAGCAAAGCTTTGGACAGAAAGCAAACGACATAAGAATATCGTACATGTAAATCAGACAAGGTGGTTGTTTAAAAAACATATCTGCTCCAATGGAAAGTAAGCGAATCAGGAAACTGATAACTTTTCAATGGATATGTATAACTTACAAGAGTAAGTGGGTACTTACTTATTCACAAACTATTAATGGATCGATGGCTCTATCAAGAGCATTAAGGGCTAAGCACAACATAATTTTGGAGTCGCTAAACCCAATCCAATTCATATGTTCAACACTGAATGTTTCACCGTGACGCATTTGAGTCTCGAAACTATAACCATTCAATAGAATTCGACTAAGCCTCAAAAGACATATATATGGGACATGGAACAATATTTTAACGCGACTATTCGTGCCCCTGGTGGTGACGACCATGTCACAATGGCAACAATTTATTTGTCTGAGTTGCAAAGAATATTTGAAACCATCACACGAATAATTATTAATAAATGATTCGGTATTATAATTCATGAAATCAGTGCAATAAGCTATGAAAAGAGATGAGATGAGGAGAGGGGAGGTAATGGTGCCAAATAATTTTTTTTTTAATTTAGATAATTTATTGATCTAATCACTCATAGTTATTAGATTGATAACGAGTCCTAATATTTTTTAAAGAGATGAGACGATGAATTAAGTCAATAAATTATGTGAACAAATTAGATCCAAATAATATTAGTGCACTAAATTTAAACTAAAAACATGGGCCAGAAGTACCTTACCTCAAGCCCAATACAAAATTGGGCTTTTGAAACCAAGCCATATCTCCATCCAGCCCAACTAAGTTGTAGGCTTCTAGCCTTTGGAAATGTAGAATGGACCCTAGTCCAGAAAACATCAGTTCCCTAGCCGTTGCCACCATCTGGCGGGAATCCACCGCACGTTAGCCTCTCTCCACATTAATTGACCGTTGGAAGAAAAAGGAGAAATTAAAGGTGGTCTCACATGTGGAGTAACAATTGTGCACTATCTATATTATACTACTTGATCTTAGATGTGATATGATTTTAATTTTTAAATATTTAATAAATTTAATAAGNACTTGATCTTAGATGTGATATGATTTTAATTTTTAAATATTTAATAAATTTAATAAGATTAATTTAATGGTTCATGTTAAGGTTGTGCGTGGTACAACAAGATGTTATGTTAGTGGAATAAATATAGGTTATAACGGTGTCATCATCTAATAATAAATTTATAAGTAGATAATTATTTTTGTACATGGATAAGTAGTTACTAAACTAACCAGGGTCCACTTGTCTATATGTTGATTTATTATTAGATTGTGATATTACGTAATAATGATAACGTGGTGTCATCATTACATTCAATATTTTTTCCTCACTTAGATTATCACTAACCTAAGAAAAAAATATATTAAATTTAATAGTGACACCACGTACAAAATATGATCATTTAATAATAAATTAACATGTGAGTAAAATAAACCACACTAATCTAAGGTGTAAGTTATTAAATAGAGTGGTGATCAATAGTTATGAATCAATGAAATTAACTTTGTTGATTTATTATTTTTTTATTGGATATTTTCTTCAACTTTCAAGGTAATTGTAAAATTCGGATAAATTTAAATTTTTTATAAAAAAAGACAAAATTGTAATTTTTCACTATAGTACGGGTTGAAAATTCAAATTTTTCTAGAACTCGGATGATCAAACGGACCTTATCGTTGCATTCATCTCGCGAAATCTAATTATCCAATCAATTTTTGTCAAATTTTGAGATAATTGAATTTTTTACATTTTTCGAGGCGACTGTGTTGGGTGACCTAAAAAATGATCCCAAAAATAAAATTTCGAAAATTTTACAATAATTTAAAGGAAGGTCATATAAAAATATTTTGAATTTGAATCGGGACGAAATTTAATCGTTTTGGAGCGAAAATGGATCCGAGAATAGGGAACACGTGACGCGACGTGGACCAAACATTAAATGGTATAAATAAGAGACAAAAATCTGATTTCTCTCTATTCTATTCTACTAGGTTTTAAAGTTGGAAGAGAAGAGAAGGAAGAGAGGAAAAAAGAGAGAAAACTTCACCTTTCTTTTACGATCTACAGAGTTCTGTCGGTTGAAATCTTTCGGGCCAAGTATTAAAGTTTATCTATGCGACGAGGGTTACGCAACCATATCAAAAAGGACGAATTTCACCAAAGATTTAAAAACCAAATCTTGAGAAAATCAAAGTTAGAGCTTGAGAGATATTCTTAGAGACTTTCTACAACTCATATTACGCTCCAAGAGGTAAAGTATTCATCTTAATTAGGTTTATTTTTAACCTAGGATGATTATATGAAATAGATAGGTTGTTAGATGTATTTTAACACTTACCTATTGTAGTTGATTTAATGAAAATGAATAAATTCAATCATAGTATGAATTGATAATTAGAAATTGTTAGCTTGAGATTTCTTGAAAGTTTTGATAATTAGGTATGTATTCTAGAGTTATGTGATGAATTTGGACATTTTATGTGATTACATGATTTGGTGCCTTGAAGTGTTTGATTAAATGTCTATGTGANAGTTATGTGATGAATTTGGACATTTTATGTGATTACATGATTTGGTGCCTTGAAGTGTTTGATTAAATGTCTATGTGAAATTAAGTGTGTTATTGCATAGATTATGTACAACATGCTTGAAAAAATAGTAGTTGAATGAAAATGTTAATATATGTTTGTTGATATATTGATATTGTGATGAATTATAATAATTATATACTTTTGATATAAATTATCATGGAATATGTAAATATGTGGTTAAATTGGTCCATATGACATTTATAGCATATTGCACATGATATGGGCGTTGCAATTGTACATTACATTGCATATGCACGGAAACATCGTATTTTGTGGGTGTGTGAGCATGGTTGTCATCAAACACTACACTTGGTGGATGATGGGTGAGCTCGGGAAAGTTGGGTCAAGGTCCGGTTGAGTCACGCAGTTTGCATTAAAAATAGGGTTGGGGTGCAAGACCCTCGAGTGCAAGAAAGGCTAGAATGCCCCTCGGGTGCAAGACCCTATGATTGGATTCACACTCCATTGATGTAGAGTCCGTAAAATGTGTTGGTGTACGCAGAACCATTGGTGGAAGTCCATGAATTTCATGTCGGCTGGGTGCCTGTTGGTGTAAGTCCATAAATATTCACCTCAAAAAAGACCCAGAGATTTTTAAAAGGCCATTGGATGTGCAACATCAATGACAATGGCTTGGAATGCCTGATTTTATACTTATGGCATTGCATGGGTGATTGGAACTAGTGAAGGCTCGAGTAGAGTTGCATGAATGAGTCTAATCTTATTTCATGGCATGACATAGTGAATTCTAACATTGAATTGCATATTCTTGATTGGAATATTTTGTGACTTGTTGAAATTGCATGTGACATTTCATATGCATCTAGGTTAAGAAGTAGTCTCTTTAGGAGATATCCTATTGAGCGTGTGCCACCCTTTATGAAAAAATATTTCAGGTGTGGATTATACACCAGTGGACAGCTCGTATTCGGGGTCTCAAGAATGATGAAAAGCTGACTTGTGAATTTTAAACTATGCTTTTATAAAACTAAGATGTCAATTAATTTTTGGACAATTTCTTGGGTTTTCTCTCGGTATGGGCACTCATCACCCTTATTAGGGTTTATTCTGAGGTTCTCCTCACTTCTATTCCTTTCTAGTCCATTGTTTCTTGCCTCCTCAGTTTTCGATGCTGAATGGTTCATTGTATACTTCTCACCCAGGTCCCACCTTTTGAGTTGTTCTCACCATGTTCCTTTTCTTCACCATCTTTTCGTTTCCCTCTTTTTGCATAGTGTCACTCGTTTTTCTATTGTTTCTGTAGTTCTTTCTCTTCCCCAGTATTTCTATCTTCTACCCTTGTTGATCCTTATCTTTTCCCCATTCCATTTACCCCATCTGTTGTCCTTTTCTTCAGTTTACCCTGCTTTGTATAGTTTCCTGTCACTTTAGTTCTTTTGGGGGTTTTGTTTGGGTCACCCTCCCTTCTTCTATTTCCATCTCTA